GGTCAGTTTAGCTTCCAATCCCTCTGTTATTTCCATATTGCTAGATAGAAAGTTAGATGTTTATCTGCCCTTTCTTCACACCTGGCTCTCTGCTTCAGATTTGCCTTAGCCAGTAAGTGTGCATATGTTGATGTTTGTTTGGTCTTGCCTCACATTGCATTATAAAAGTTAAGGTGGATACTTAAATGCTATTCTAATCATCATGAAAATTGGTGTGTATCTTTAGAATAGAGTCGTTTCTTTAGAATTGCAGTGGTATTAAAAGGATGTTTTTGTCATAGTGACATTTTCCCCAAAGTGTCTTGAATATCAGAGAAATCTTGAATTATAGGTTCACCCAAAGCTCTGAAAAAAATAGTTTCTCAGATTTTTGCAGCAAAATAATTTGGTGACTTGTACTGACAGGAGGCTACTTATAATATTTATTCATCTCACTTAAAAAATCATATTTTGCTGTTGTAGTATTTCTTTGTTTGTTTATTGGAGCTGTTTTAGACCTCCAGGGCTTGTTAGGTAGAAATATACTGTCTTTCTAAAATCTGAGAAATTTTGAAGTATATCTGTCCTCAAAGATTTTGAATAAAGGATGTGGACCTGTAATAGTACTTTTGAATAACACAATAGGATATTTTAATATTTGAGTTTTAAGCTTATGTTATTTAATTTTCCTGTGAAACTATAAGTAGCCAATACAAAAAGTTAGGCATATGAATCTGAATTTCAGAGTTCTTATGGCAGTCTTGACTTTTCAGGGATATCCTCTGTATGAAAGCATGAAAAGATTTTCTTTGCCAGCAATTATACAACCTTAAAGTTTAGCTTAAGTAATTTTTGTTTAGCTTTTTAAAAAAAGATGACATATTTGGGGCTTTTAGTTTCATGGTTAATAGTTGTTTTAGTGTAGCTCATTTGGAATTATTGGGCTCTCAGAAAATATGGCACCATTTCACAGATTGTAAAATCTAGGTTTTGAGAAATAGAAATAGCTTGGTCATTGGCATATTTGGCATGTTAATTGAAGTTAGTCTGTTATCCAAAACATTATCAGTAGGATCCTTTTGCCTTGATGTTTTGTCTAATATTTTGGGTTAAGTGGGCTTATAATTAATACCCCTTTTAGTAGTTGAAGGTGATAATATTGTAATGAACCCAGTTATTAATAACTGGGAAGGAGCAAAGAAGGCCAAATATTATAGGCATGGCCAATAAAGTCTGGGTGAAATAGGGAAGGTACTTTGTTAGTCACACCTAGGAACAGGTCATTGGCCAGAGTAGGTGTGGCTACAGCAAGTGTGGGAAGATTTAAGATACTTAAGCTCCTAAACAGAGGAGTTCTCTCTCCTGCTTGCTCGAATTTGACTCCTGGCTTGTGGTGTTCTCATGCTCCTGCATTTGCCAACATGGCCCACTGCCATGTGTACCCCCCACACAATGGACTGATGGAATGTAACTAGCCTGACCCAGCACTACCAGGACTGGAAATTGGACACTAGTTTTGTTTCTAGCTCTGCTGAATCTCCATTTGCAAACAGAGGGATGTAACTCCACACAAGTCTCTAATCCTCTTGTGAGAGTTTCAGAAGATCATTTGTCTTGATATTGTAAGGACCACCCCCCTAGCACTCAGTTGGGAAAAGCGATTCTCCACATCCACTGGTGGATACCCCACTTTGATAACAATTAGACATTTATATAACTTAGAAGTAATCATCCCAATAAGTCTAGTATCCACCTGACACTATACTTAGTTATTGTAATATTATTGACTATATTCCCTGTGCTGTACTTTACCTTCCTATGACTGTTTTTGGAACTGGCAGTTTGAACTCCTTAATCCCTTCACCTTTTTCTTCCATCCCACCCAACCTTGCTCCCATCTATCTGGTGGCCAATGATTTGTTTTCTGTATCTATGAGTTTGTTTTTGTTTTGTTTGTTTGTATTGTTTTTCAGAGTGCACATATAAGTGAAATCATACAGTATTTATCTTTCTCTGACATAGTTAACTTTGCATAATACCCTCTAGATCCACCTATGTTGTTGAAAAGGCAAGATTTCATTATTTTTTATGGTTGAGCAAAATTCCATTTTGTGTGTGTGTGTGTGTGTGTGTGTGTGTATTACATCTTTTTTTTTAATGTTTTTTATTGATTTCAGAGAGGAAGGGAGAGGGAGTGAGAGATAGAAACATCAATGATGAGAGAGAATCATTGATCGGCTGCCTCCTACACACCCCCTACTGGGGATCAAGCCTGCAACATGGGCATGTGTCCTTGACCAGGAATTGAACCATGACCTCCTGGTTCATAGGTCCACGCTCAACCACTGAGCCACACCGGCAGGGCTATACTACATCTTCTTTATCCATTTATCAACCTGTGGGCACCTAGGTTGCTTCCATATCTTGGCTATTGTAAATAATGCTGCAGTGAACATAGGGGTGCATATATCTTTTCTAATTAGTTTTTTGGATCTCTTCAGATAAATATGTAGAGGTGAAATTGCTGAAAACTTTTTGATCTTACTCCTTGATCTTTTTCAGTA